TCTCTCTCTCTCTCTCTCTCTCTCTCTCTCTCTCTCTCTCTCTCTCTCAGTGCCAGGTACTAACCTGTGAAAGGTGGCGCCTTGTTGCAGTTACATCGAAGATGAAGCTGGAGCGATAGCGTCACAGGTAAGCTCCCAGGTAAGTCTCCCTGGCCTCCACCACTCTCCTCCCTATCCACGCTACTCTAAGGTCCTAGCAGCGCTCAGCGCCGAAGACTATTCCTATCGTAATCTACTACTACTGCAGCGCTCCCAAGAGTGCTGCTGCCGAATGTCCGAAGACTGCCTCCTGAACTGCCTGTCCCCTCCCGGGCGGACCAGCACTATATAGCGCTGGTCCGCCTGGGACGCTGCTCTTGTCAATGTCGAATCGTGCCAGCCCCTGGCACCGAAGTTCAAAAAAAGGTCGTCTTGAAACGGGCCTAAAAATGGCCTGCGCTTATCCCTGGTCTGGCGCCTAAGTTTCAGGAAAGGCCGACTTTAAGAGGGCCTAACATTGGCCCTCCGTTTTAGGCTGAAACGACGCAGGGCCTGGAGGGCCCTTACTTATCCCTTGTTCCGCCTGGTCGGGCCCTGCAGGCCCGTGTGGTGCGCAGTATGCCACACCCCCCCCTCCTTGAAAGACCGAGATTACCTGCGAGGGCGAAGCTGCCTATTGGAGGGAGGGACCAAAGTCCGGGTGGGAGGGGCAGGTTGTGAAGCCTCCTTAGCTAGTCTTCGTCGCTCGTAGTTGGCATGAATCAGTGGTGCGGATGCTTGCAAATCTGCTCGTGAAATCCACCTTGTGTCGTCGCGGTTGCACCATTTGAATGAGACCTTGTATTGCATCGGCTTGTTGCCGTACTTGCGGTGCATGACGACGGGATCAATCTCTTGATGGCCATCGATGGAGGGAGGGTCCTGCGATCATCGGTCTGGGAAGTCATCGTCCTTGGCTGGTGTGTATGTCACCAGCTTCGAGGCGTGAAGACTGGATGGACCGGCAAATGCGGAGGGATGTCAAACACAAAGGATGGCCGTCGGACTTGCCGCCTGCAGCTGATAGGACAGTCCATGGTCCAAACCACTTGGGGAGTAGCTTGCGTGAAACATCCTGTTCGAGCGCAAACTCTTCCGAGGAGACCCAAACCAGATCACTGGCGCGGATGGTACATGGCATGCGACGCCTGTTGGCTTGCTGCTACATGCGGACTTGAGCCTTGTGCATGTTCGCACGGGCTTGAGTCAACAATTCCCTGTACTTCCGAACGGAGGCGGGAGAGCAAGCGGCGTCTATGTCGGCAGTTCGTGGGAGGAGAAGATCAGCGAAGATACGGCCTTTCCGGCCACCGTGGTGCAACTCGAATGGAGTCATGCCAATCGCCGGATGCAATGAAGTGTTGTAGGCGAACTCGATGTCGGGGAGGCGGTTAACCAAATCCTTTTGATCCGGACGGATGAGCGTACGAAGCATCATTTGAGCAGTCTGATGTGCTCTCTCCGTTTGCCTGTCCGTTTGTGGTGCCGAGCCGAACTTGGTTTCATTTCGGTGCCGGACTCCTTCATGAGTGAACTCCAAAATGCTGACATGAACCGAGTGTCGCGGTCGCTAACGATGTCTTCCGGAACACCATGGCTGCAGATCCAGCCGATGTGCAAGAGTCGCGCGAGCTCGGGAGCCGTGGCGTAGTACGTGCATGGAAGAAACAGCGCGAACTTACTCAAACGCTCACCGACCGTGAGGATGCCCTCATGTCCAAAGCGATCACGGGGAAACGGGCCAGTGACGTCCGTAGCAATGGAGAGGTCGGGTTCTCGGGGAATAGGCAACGGGCGCAACTCGTCGTAAAAGTTGCGATTGCGGGGCTTGCTTCGTCGACAAACTTCGCAAGAATCGCAATATCTCGTGACGTCGGTGATGACGTCGGGCCGCCGGAATCGTTGTCGAAGTCGTGCTATAGTCCGATTGACTCCGACATGGCCGGCGAGTCGCGAGTCGTGGTACTCACTGAGAAGGCGAGTCCGAAGACGACGGTCTCGTGGAACACACAATAGTCCTTGCCTCGCGAGAGGAGAAGCAAGTGCCCGTCGACGATGCGATAGTGGTTGGCCGTCGGGTGATCCGAAGATAGCTGCGCATAGAGTGTGGCGTAATCCGGATCAGACTCATAGCCCCGAATGAAGTGTCGCTGGAGTTCCTCGTCAAACGCGAAGGCATGATGTGTCATAGAGCAAAGATCGGGTCTTCGCGAGAGTGCATCTGCTACGCGATTGGAGAGGCCGACAAGATGTTTTGGTGTGAAGTCAAATTGCTCGATGAAATACATCCATCGTCTGATAGTGTTGCTCACCGTATCTTGCGTCTTGTAGTAGGTCAAAGGGTTGTTATCAGTGACCCATGTGAACCTACGACGCCCAAGGAGGAAGTGCCGCCATCGCTTGAGACACATCACGAACGCGAGCAACTCCTTCCTTGCATCATCAAGTGAGTTGATGGGAGACACCTTGTGGCTGAAGTACTCCACGAGATGTTAGTCGTCGCCGTCGTGTTGTTCCAAGACTGCCCCAATACCATAGTTGGAGGCGTCGGTTGTCACTCTCGTTGGCAATGTGGGGTCGTAGATGCTAAGGACGGGTGCCATGAGCATGGCCGTCTTAAGTGCTTAGAATGACCAGCACGCTTCGTCGTCGAATGTGAATGGCACCTTTGGCGATTGTAATCTCATCAATGGTGTGGCAATCCTTGAGTACCCGGTGATGAAGCGTTGGTAGTAGCCTGGCAACCCCATGAATGAGCGAACGTCCATGGTGTTGGTGGGCTCGGGCCATACGCGGATGGCCTCAATCTTGTCCGCGAGCGGACGGATGCCTTGCGGCGCCACATAATGGCCCAAGTATTCGAGCTCTTGCTGCATGAATTCACATTTGTCGCAGTTGGCCTTGTACTTGGCTTGCCGTAGCCGCTCCAAGACGGTTGGTAGGTGGTCCATATGCTCGTCCAAACTCCGGATGTACACCGAGATGTCATCGAGGTAGATGAGCATGGATATGTCCAGCATCTGGCGAAACTCCCTTGTCATTGTTTGGAACATGACCAGGGCATTCATAAGACCAAAAGGCATAACCAGCCATTCGAAACGCCTATATCGCATCTTGAACGCAGTCTTACAACGGTCCTCCCGCCGGATCTCAATTTGGTGATATCCCAATTTCAGGTCGAGCTTGGAGAAGAATTGGGCCCCGCCTAGCCGTTCGAGAAGGTCATCAATTCGCGGAAGAGGGCCGACGTTCTTAACGGTTTGTGCATTGAGCTTGCAATAGTCAATGCACAACCACAAGTCCTTGTTCTTCTTCGGACGAAGCGAACGGGATCACTGTAGGGTGAAGAGCTAGGCCGAATCTAGCCTTTCTCAAGAAGGTCGTCGAGTTGTGCCCGTAGCACACTTAACTCTTCCTCGCTCATACGGTAGATGCTACCACGCAGAGGTCCGGCCCCAGCCTCGAGGATGATCTCGTGGCGGATTGGCCGATCCGGTACTACTCCGTGCGGGACTTCGAAAACGTCACCGTAGGCGTTTAGAAGCTCAGTGA